ACCATCCATCCTGATGCTGCCAATTGGTCCAGTAGTGAGAATCTTTGTCTTCTTGACATTGAGCCTCAATCCATATTGAAGGCTGCAGTCCCTGACACTCAGCAGCAAGTGCTTTAGGTCCTCCTCAGTTTCAGCAAGCAGGGTTGTGTCATCTGCATAACACAGATTGTTGATAGATCTTCCACCAATCCTGATGCCGCATTTCTCCTCATAGAGCCCAGCCTCCCAGATGATCTGTTCTGCATACAGGTTGAAAAGGTATGGAGACAGGACACATCCCTGGTGTACGCCCTTCCCAATTTTGAACCATGCAGTGTTTCCTTGCTCTGTTCTGACGACTGCCTCTTGGTTCAAGTATAAGTTTCTCATTAGCATGACTCAGTGTTCTGGGATTCCCATTCTTAGCCACAGTTTGTTATGGTCCACACAGTCAAATGCCTTTGCATAATCAATGAAGCACAGATAGACATTCCTCTGCTACTCCCTGCTTTCAGCCAAGATCCATCTAACATTAGCTACAATATCCCTAGTACTACGACCCCTTCTAAACCCAGCCTGGGCTTCTGGCAGTTCTCTGCTGACGTACTGTTCCAGTCGTTTTTGGATAATCTTCAGTAGAATCTTGCTTGCATGTGAAATCAAGGATATTCTTCTATAGTTTCCACACTCTGTTGGGTCACCTTTCTTTGGAATGGGAACAAATATAGATCTCTTCCAGTCAGTTGGCCAAGTGGTTGTTCTCCAGATTTCTTGGCACAACTTGGTGAGCACATCCAGGGAAGCATCTGTTAGCTGAAATATGTCAATTGGTATACCATCTATTCCTGGGGCCTTATTTTTTGCTATTTCCTTCAAAGCAGCCTGAACTTCTTCCTTCATCACCATAGGCTCTTGCTCACATGTTGTTTCTTTAAATTCTTCTGTGTTTTCCAATTCCTTTTTATACAATGACTCCATATATTCCTTCCATCTTCTTTTAATACTTCCTGGATCATTTAATATTCTGCTGAAAGCATCCTTGATTATAGCAACTCAAGGTATGAATTTGTTCTTCAGTTCCTTAAGCTTAAGAAATACTGAGCAAGTTCGGCCCTTTTGATTTTCTGACTTCAGCTCCTTGCACATTTCATTGTAATATTTTACTTTGTCATCCCGCACTCCCTTTTGAAATCTTTTGTTCAGCTCTTTAGTATCTTGAATTCTTCCTTGTGCTTTGACTTCTCTGTGCTGCAGTGCAATATTCAGAGTTTCTTCTGACATCCATTTTTGTCTTTCCTTCTTCTTCTTCTGTCTTTGTAATGAACATTTGCACTCTTCTTGGGTAATATCCTTGATATCCTCCCACAACTCATCTGGTCTTCGCTCATTTGTGTACAAGGCCTCAAACCTGTTCCTGAGATGATTCTGAAATTCAAGTAGGGATGAATTTTATAGTCTTTGGTTTTATCTAGGTCCCTGATCTGTCTAGAGTAGCGTTTTGTATAAGGTATGCGGTGGGGGTCTTTTCTGCTGATGATTTTCCAATTTGCCAACACCATTTGTTAGAGACTGTCCTTTCTCCACTTAACTAATTCTATTTCCTTGCCAAAGGTCAGTTGGTCATAGATGGGTGAGCTGATTTCTGGATTCTCAATTCTATTCCATTGATTTATGCGTCTGTTGCTGAACCAATACTTTGCTGTCTTGACCACCATAGCTGTGTAGTAGGATTTGAGATCAGGAGTGTGATTCTGCCTACCTTGTTTCTCTTTTTCAGTAGTGTTTTGCTTATTTGAGGTCTATTTCCAATCCACCTAAAATTGAAAATTGCATTTTTCTTCTCATTGAAGAACATAGTTTGTGTCTGTATTGGGATTGCATTGAATTTGTAGATCACGTTTGGTAGAACGCGTCATTTTCGTGATACTGAGTCTTCCTATCCTTTAGCACAATATATTTCCCCATTTCTTCAGGTCTTTTTGTTTCTTGTAGTAATATTTTGTAATTTTCTGTGTATATGTCTTCTTTGTCTCTAGTTAGATTTATTCCCAAGCATTTAATCTTGTGGTTAGCTATTGTAATTGATATTGCTTTACTTAGCTCCATTTCTGTATTCTCTTTGTCACTGTAGAGAAAGCCAACTGATTTTTGCAGATTGAATTTTAGACATCCTTCATAGATTTCTTAAAACAGCTGGATGAAAGGTTATCTGTTTCATTCAAGAACATGTTCCTACATCTGCTCTGTGTATTCTAGAAAATTTTTCATGTTTCATCCGTTAATTGCTCCCTGTATTCTCTTTGTTGAAGAGTTCCTTTTGTAGTTCTATAATTTTATTTCAGTGGAATCTCAAAAGAGATAGGAGACAAGCTGCCATTTTGAGCTACAGAATAAATAATTCACAAACATTTTAGCATAACTACTTTCAATCAAGATCTAAACCATATTTTTTGATCTAGTTCTCCAACATCTATTTTTGTTAATATTAATTCATTTAATAACTATTTAAAGAACATGGAGTACTCATCCTGGAGAGGATGAAGCCCTGTCTGACATGCTTTGGACATATTACAAAGAGGGACCAGTCCTTGGAGAGGGACATCATGCTTGGGAGGGTGGAGGGACAGTGCAGGAAAGGAAGACCCTCGATGAGATGGATTGATTTAGTGACTGGTGTGCTGGAGGCAAAAATATTGACAAGGGATAGAGCAGGATTTAGGGTTGTTATGAGTCGCAGGCAACTCCATGGCACATAACAACATCAATCATGGATATAGCCTCTGGTCTGTATAGTAAATACAGTTTCAAGAAATTTTACAAAGAGTAACAAATAAAGCGTCAAGAAGATACATGCAAGACTTTCTGGGGTAGTTACAAAGTTCTCTGTAAGAAAATTGATCAAGTGCATTTCTTAAGGGATAAGTGGGAGTTTTTCAAACATTTGGAGGCAAAATACTGAAGCAGTAAGGATAGACAGTTTAGTCAGAATTAGCCAGTATTCCATAACAAAGAATTATCTAGTCTGAAATGCCACTAGGGCTGTTGTTTGTTGTTATGTGCCGTCGAGTCACTTGCGACTCATAGTGACCCTATGTACAACAGCTCTAAACTCCGCTCTGTCCTGTTCCAATCGCACTGTCTCTGACACTCCCATCCCAATTATCCCAGTCACTGAATCAATCCACGTCATAGAGGGCCTTCCTCTCCTGCGCTATCCCTCTATCCTCCCAAGCATGATGTCCTTTTTCCAAGGACCTGTCTCTCCTCACAACATGTCCAAAGTATGTTAGATGGAGCCTTAGAATCCCTGCCTCCAAAGAGCCACCCGGTTTAACCCTTTCCAGGACAAATCTGTTTGTTTTCCTAGCAGTCCATGGTATTCTCAGTACTCTTCTCCAGCACCACGGCTCAAAGGCATCAATTCTCCTTCTATCCTCCTTAGTCATTGTCCAATTCTCTGATGCATAACAAGTGACTACAAAGACCATGGCCTGTATCAGACGCACCTTAGTCTCCAGAGAGACACCATTGCTCTTCAGTACTTTGGAGAGGTCCCTAACAGCAGACTTTCCCACGGCAATGTGCCTTTTAATTACCTGGCTGCTGGTGCAAAGACTGTTGACTATGGAGCCAAGCAAACTAAAGCTGTGTACAATCTCAATCACTTCACCATCCATCCTGATGCTGCCAGTTGGTCCAGTGGTGAGAATCTTTGTCTTCTTGACATTGAGCCTCAATCCATATTGTAGGCTGCAGTCCTTGACACTCTGCAGCAGGCGCTTCAGGTCCTCCTCAGTTTCAGCAAGCAGGGTTGTGTCATCTGCATAACGCAGATTGTTGATAAATCGTCCACCAATCTTGACCCCACATTTCTCCTCATAGAGCCCAGCCTCCCGGATAATCTGTTCTGCATATAGGTTGAAAAGGTATGGAGATAGGATGCATTCCTGGCGTACGCCCTTCCCAATTTTGAACCATGCAGTGTTGAGAAACCCTGCTTTTGAAGAAGTCCTTAGATGATCAGCTTCCGCAAGAGCAGTAGATAAGACAGACTTCTGAAGAACTGAGCCGGAGGCAGCACTCCTAGATCCTGTAGGCTTTGTATACTCTTCAGAGGAAGGTATGAAGAGAGACTGAGGACCAAGCTAAAGTAGGACATCTTGACCACAGGTTTGGAATGGGCTGTAATGTCTTAACAATCCGAGCAGTCTACTTTAAAAGTCACCAGATATATGACTGTAGCAATGGGCTACAGTATGTTAAAAATGATGAGGATGGCCCAGGATAGGGCAGGGTTCAGATCTGTTGTTCACAGGTAGCTATGAGTCATATTGGACTTGAGAGTAACAACAACACACAAGAACAAAGCATGACCATGGAGGAGATGTAGGTGTGCTGAAATGTACAAAGCTTCTTAATGTCCTAAAATGAATATTTTTAATGAATAGGCAATATAGTTATCCAATATTTTACATTAAAGACAATAGTGAAAAAATCTACTGTCAATTGTGTTCATTAGTGACATCTGTCTGGCAGTAACAAACACTGAGGTGCAAGGTGAGATTAATGCTGGCTGTGATCATTAAAGTTTTATGTCACCCCATCTAGACCATAATTCTAAGTGGTTTGGTAGTTTTTCAATGACGCTTTGGCAATTATGTAACGGTGTAGCCATCCTCCATTTGATCTGATGTCATCATCCTCCATTTTCCCACAATGCCTGTTTGTTTTCACATAATAGCTTGGTCTTTGGAACCTAACCTTTTAAAAAGTGAGGAATAGGCATGTGTTCTATGAATAGTGATGTCCCCTCAAAAACCCCCAAAATTTCCATACATTAGTTATATTGCTTATGATATTTGATGAGTAATAGCTTGTAATAAGGTGAGTCTCCATTTGAATTTAATTTTATCTCAATCATGCATAGTTCCATTCTTTTTCCATGATTTCAGTCCAGTAAATATAATTTGTTACCAGTGCAAATGATTTAGAGAGAAATTATTTACAAAAGCTTCACTTACCTCTTTTTTAAGCCAGTCATTTTCTATGATCTCTCGGTAACTGCCCTTGTCAATGAACTGTACAGCATTCTAAAAGAAAGTTTCTGTCTTAAGAAGAGTTATCACATGATGATTCACAATTTTAGCAATGAGGAGGCACAAATTTACTTCATTAATTTTAAGGTCTATTTCCATTACTTTGGAAACATACCTAAGAACTTCAGGTCTTTCCTTTTTTCTATCCTATTGACTTGTTATTGCTGATGTTGTTAGATCCCACTGAGTATGACTTAGAGCAATCCTGTAAACATCACATCTGAAACCTGCCCTATCCGGCGCCGTCCTCATCATCTCTGCCACACTAGAGTCCATTGTTACAGTCACTGTGTCAATCCATCTCCTTGAGGGTCTTCCCCTCCTTTACTGACCTTCCACTTTTCTCCAAGGACTGGCCCCTCCTAGCAACATGCCCAAAATAGAGAGCTGCCTTGGCTTAGTGGTAAGGATTTGTGCTGCCAACTCATAGGCATATGGTTCAAATCCACCAGTTATTTGGCACAAGAAAGATGGACAGTACCCCCCATGTGATTTACTGTCTCCGGAAACTGTCTGGAGGGTCAGCTGTAAGTTGGCCCTGACTCGATGGTTCTGACAAATAACAACGAACATATGCTGTTGCTGATTTATACTGTGTAATACCGGATGTTTGGAGAACTACATAATAATGTGGCTGTCCATTCACTTTGGCCTCCATTGTGACTGAATTTTAATGTTTTGATCAATCATTAAGCGATCTGCTCCATAGTTGTGTGATTGGGTGCTATTGAAATAATTCCAATTCATAATGACCTCATGTAAAATGCAACGAAACCTGGTGCTGTGTCATCCTCACAATTCTATTTGCAGCCATTATTTGGAAGTGCCTGTGCAATCCATCTCATTAAAGGTCTTCTTTTTTGATGACTCTCTACCAAACATGAGTTCTATCCCAAGGATTAATTCCTTCTGATAAACTTTCCAAAGTACCTTGATACAAGTCTCATCGTCCTCACTTTCAAGGAGCATTTGCTCTTCATCAGTAAGTGCATCAAGATCTCTCCAATTTCAGCAATAAGGTTCGACAGAGGCTGTTAATGACTCTTCTAGTTCTGATACTGTGAGTTGTTTTTTTTTAAGTAGCTCAATTTTTTTAGATTATTTGCTCTGAAATTATTTATCTGAACATACATTCAGAAAAATACAGTGAAAGGATTTAACACTGTCCCTAATATTTTTCCTAATTTGAAAACATTCATCTCTCTCTCCTTGTTCTGTTGAAATGACTGCCCTGTGGTCTATTACAGGTTCTACATACAGTTTTCACAATAGTATCTGTAATGGTTCTGATCCATACAGTCAAATCCTCTGTAATTAAGATAGCTAAACTATAGAGATCAATCTTTAAGCTTTTAATCACAGACATAATTCAACATATAGCAAACATATGAATATATCACATTAAAAAATCTTTTAATATGAAATATTTCTGGGTGTCAATAAGAATAGTGCACATATTTACAACCATAAAAAATAGTTTAAGGGTAGCAGGAAATTTTCCTGGAAAGAAAATTAGATGCAGAAAAATTTTTTTTACTAGGTTAATAAAGAAGAAAATAATTTTTAATTACTTTGATATTTATTGTTTTCATCCCAAAGAGCTTTCTAGTGCATAACATGTCATGTTTGTCTGTAAGATTATTTTATATTGTTGCCAGGTTATAAATTAAACAGTAACTAAAGGGCAACAAAAATTAAATAAATTATGAGGGATACTCTAGATAAAAAATATGGGCAGAAATAATTTACAAGTATGCTAAGGGTTTACTTTTTTGTTAAATCTTTATAAGATTTCCAATGAAAACCAAAATTTTTTAAAACTAAGCTTATTAACAACTAAGAATAGATTTTGATTTCCTAGACCAGGTGCTTCAATTCCTACTATTGTGCTTTCGATTTGATTAAGACTCATATAAACGTTATAACCCACAGAATGAAACCTGGTCCAGTCATGCGCCAAGCTCATAATCTCTGCTGTACATAAACAAGCTTTTCAAATTATTGTGTCAATCCATTCCACTGAGGGTCTTCTCCTTAATATCCCTCTCTGTTTCCAAGTATGATGTCCTTTCCCAGGGACTGGCCCATCCTTGATAATATGTCCCAAGTATGAGATATAAAGTCCTACCATCTTCATCAATAAGAAACACTCTGATTGCACTTATTCCAAGCCAGATTTATTTGTTCTTTTGGAATACTAATATTCTTTGGCAACACTACAATTCAAAGGCATCAATTCTTTTTTTTTAATCTTCCTTATTCATTGTCCAACTTTCAGATGCATAGAAAGCAACTGAGAATGTCATGGACTGAGACAACTGCAAAGACTTCAATAGAATAAAAACAACCCTGGAGTCACAGACATCCACTTAAGCACAAGCATTTATCTAGATCAAAAGTGCCAAGACTAACAAAGATGAGAGCTCAAGGGAAATTGAAGAAAAAACTCACGCAAAACCCCTCCAGTTGGCCCAGAAAGGCAAAAAAGGCCAAAGAACAGATACTCTATGGCCACTCCCACAAGTTGAAGCAGGCCATCGAAATCCAAGAGATGAGTGCAGTGGCCTCCGGCAGCTCCGAGAACACCCAGTAAGCAAACGATCAGAGCAGGACCATGGGCCCCAACCTCCAGGCCTCTGCTCCGAGAGGGGCTGTCCACCTCATCCCCCTATGCTGACACTTGGGGCCACCCACTGGATGGCTTCCAAGAAAACAACACATTGTGGAAAACAAGGGGGGGAAAATACCATGGCTTGCATCCAGATTTTCGATGGAAACCTTTGCTCTTCAGTACTTTAAAGAGGGCCTTGACAACAGATTTTCCCAAAGCAATAGGAATACTTTCTTAGCTGCTTCTTCCGCAACTGTTGACTGTGGAGTCAAGTAAAATTAAATCCTTGACAACATCAGTCTTTTCTCCAGTTATCATGATGTTGCCTATTAGTTGAGTTGTTAGGATCTTATTTCCTTGATCTTTTTCAGTAAATACTTCAAGTTCTCTTCATTTTTAGCAGGCAGAGTGGTGTCATCTGTATATCATGGGTTGATGATGAGTCTTCTTTCAATCTTGATGCCACATTCTTCTTCAAATAGTTTCTCAGATTATTTGTTCAGCATTGACTAGGTTTGGGAAAAAGTTACAAGTCTAACACATACCTTTCCTGATTTTAAACCATAAACTATCCCCTTGTTTTGTTCAAATAGCTGTTTCTTGGTCTATGTATAGGTTCCTCATGATTGGAGTCAAGTAAGTATTCTTGGAATTCTCATTCATCTCAATGTACCCATAATGTATTATAATCCACTTTAATGAATGCCTTTGCATAGTCAATAAAACACAAGCAAACATCTTTCTAGTGTTTACTGCTTTGAGCCAAGATATATAAAACATTAGCAATTATATCCTTTGTTACACAGCCTTTTCTGAATCCAGCTTGAATTTTTGGTAGTTCTCTATCTGTCCATTTCTTAATAATCTTCCGCAAGGTCTTACAAGTAATATTTTAATATTAATTATCTTGCTCAATAATTTCCACATTCTGTTGGTTCACAATTTTTTCTGAATGGGCACAAATATGGATATCCTCCAGTTGGTTGACCAAATAGCTTTTTCTCCCAATGCAACAGATAATTCTAAAGTCGTTTACAAGACAGAATTTCATTTTTAAAAAACCAATGTAGTCCATAACTAAATCTAATTGGTTAACAGCTTAGCTTTGGTAAATCCCCAAGTCCAAGCAACATCCAGGATAATTTTATAATAGAATCTCTGTGGATGGGGCCCAAGCAAATAAAAAAAAAATCCAACCAAAAAACCAAACCTCTCAAGTGATTTCAACATTCAGCTAAGAATGAAAGGCTCTGGATTATGGGAAGTTGGGCTACATGCCAAAATAGAATGAAATGTCATTTAAGTTTTTAGTATGCAGCATTATGTGAGGAAAAATGTGTAATATAGTGAGTAAGAGCAATGATCTAAAGAAGACCTCTTAACTTAAATCCCCATCTCTTATACTCTAGCTCTGGGAGAGTCATAAGTTTTCTGTGCCTTGATCTCATCATTCTCAAGTCCCTGCCTTTTACAGGATTGTTGAGAAACTTAAATGTGAAGTGCTTAGAATTCTTTCTGGAACATGCCTCCTTATATATGCTTTAAGCATATTTGATCACATGTCTTTTAAAAAGAATTTGCTATTTTTGAGCATGCACACAACATAAATCCCAATATTTAATAATTTCTATATTTGCTTCAGTGACATTGAGTGCATTCTCACTGTCTCAGGCACTAAAACTCTCTGTCTTCTGCATCTAGGAAGATCTTAGCGCAGGAACCACTAAGCAAAGGGACACACTCCACTCCCCTCTCTTCTTTTTGGTGTAGGTGATGATACTCCTATCTCCACCTATGCTCTGGGATTGGCTCTCTTTTTAAAATCTAGCAGGATTGACAAAACGTCAAGAAAGTACTTTTTAAGTCAAATTATTTTTCATTCTAAACTTCATTCAGACCTTTAATTTTGCTACGTTAGTTTCCACATTATTATTATTATTATTATTATTATACTTTAAAAATGAGAGGATAATCATTTATGGAACTCTTGCTCCTTGTGAAGGATCACCTACCGGTCACATCATCTCTTTAAGGTAAATGTTATTAATGTCTACATTTTATAGATTAGGAAACGGAAGCCGAGAAAAGCTGAGTCACAAACTCATGCTATATAGGCAGTAACTAATAGAAAGAGGCTTTAAACTCAAACTGCCTATTTTAGAACCCAAGTTCTTAACCACTGTAATATGCCATAAAAATAAATCAGGGAGAAAATGTTTTGTTTTAAAAGGAAAATGGGGGGGGGGAAGGAAATATACCTGAGTGGCCCATTCCTTCTTTTGGTCCAAGTTTAACAAAGTTTCTCTGATTATTCTCTTTCTAGCATCTTCCAGAGTGATTCTATACTGTTCTTTAAAAAGAAAATTAGAAGCCTTAACAAAGTGGATGCTTGGTAAATTTTATATCTCATCACCCTTACCTCTCCTTCCTAGAAGTTTTTTTCCCCAGAAATTTTCAGAGTCTATATTTACTAATTGGAAGCAGGACCGGCATGCACTTCCATAATAGCTTGCCTCTGGAAGCCTTATGAACTTGGAGAAAGGACGAATGTTACACAGATGTCCAGGACTTTCATTCATAGGGTCGCTATGAGTCACCTGAGACTCAATGGCACTTACTTAACAACAACAACAACATATTTACTAAAGTATCTAGCACCTCCAATTAGAAGAAAAGTTCTAATAACAACAACAACAACACATTCATTGCTATCAAGTCAATGCCAGCTCACAGTATCCCAACAGGATAGAGCAGAACTACTCAATAGGGTTGTAAATCTTTATGAAAGCAGACTGCCTCATTTTTGTCCTGCAAACTGGTTGGTGGGTTTAAACCACTGACTTTTTGATTAGCAGTGGCATCACAACCACTGTACCCACAAGGCTCTGTCCAATAACTTCCTAACACCTTAAGGTGAATTGATTTAAGATGACAGCCCTCCCTGGAATATTTGCATATTCAAAGCATTATCTCTTCAAAGAAGAAATTTCAAACACATTAGTACTTGTATAGGTGATCTATACGCCATGTCATGTGACTTATTAGTCTACAGTAGAAATATAAAGAGTTTATTATTTGAGTGACTAGCTTCTTAGACTCCATCCACCTACATTTCCAGTACTCTTGGTACATTTTCACTGGAACGGGAAAAGTAGACTGCAAAGAGGAGAGTAAAAGGTAGTGGTGAGCTTGAAAGCTGATCGGTATACCTGATTCTGAACTTGGCCAAGAACATGAGCTGGAAAGTGCAGATTTCCCTGTTCTCTCTGTATTTCATTATGCTTATAAATGCCAATATTGAAAGAGCAAAGAATCATGATATTCAGGCCTTGAAAGACACTTGGATATCATACAATCAACATTCCTGGTTAAGGGAAACGAGGCTTATTTATACCCATGGAAGCACCAGTCAAAAAATAAAAAAATGTGTTGTCAAGGACCTCCTCAAAGTGTTAAAGAACGAGGATGAATGTTTAAAGACTAAAGTATGCAGCTGAAAGTTGGACAGTGAATAAGGAAGACTAGAGGAAAAGTAATGCCTTTGAGTTGTGGTTTTGGAGAAGGGTACTGAATAACATGAACTGCCAAAAGAACAAACAAAATTGTCTTGAAGGAACTGTGACCAGGGTGCTCTTTTAGAGATATGATGATGAAACTTCATCTCACTTAGTTTGGGCATGATTTCAGAAGGAACTAGTTTCTGGAGACAGACATCACGCTGGGAGAGGCCAAGTTAGCAAAAGAGAGGAAGATCTTCAACAAGAGGAACTGACACAGTGACTACCACAGTGGGTTTGAGCAGGACAGAGGTCATGAGAATGATGCAGGTCAGGGCAAGGTTTTGGATCTATTATTTGCAGGGTTGCTATGAGTCACAGTCAACTTCAGGTCACCTAACAAGAGAGGAGGGTCCTCAATGTGATGGACTGACTCGGTGACTTGGGTAATGGGGGTAGGTGTGTCAGAAACAATAGGGTTGGCACCAGGTAGAGCAGGGTTCAAAGCTGTTGTACATAGGGTTGCTATGAGTCACGAATGACTTGATGACAGATAACAATAACAACAGGCATACATATTTTTAAAATCAGGCTAACTAAAAAAGTATTGGTGTCAAGATGATTATACTACACAGCAGAGTAGAATTGCTCCCATAGGGTCTCCAAGACTGTATGTCTTTATGAAGACACACATTTTCCTTGTGAATTGTCTGGTGGGTTTGAACAACCAACCAACTTTTCAATTAACAGCCAAATACTTAATTTTGCCACCAAAACTCCTCTAACTAAGCATAGTAATAATGTTGAATTTTACCTGAACTCTCAGATATGAGAAAACAGCAGCTTTAGAGTTTAAAAATACAGAATGAATACGATTTGCAGAAATAACTGCTGGACTGCATTGTGCACCTTGCATCATCTTAAAACCCTCTAATGCTTTTCTCAGAACTTTCAAATGACCAAAGCAGCCATAACACTGCAAAGATATTTCAAGAAGCTAACAATCTCCTTTCTCAAAAAATTTGATTAACATGCACACAAGTCTTTAGAATTTGTTTCAGCTTAGCCTTCTTAGAGCAGTGGCTTTTAACATTTCCATTAACTTAGAGGCTGTAACACTTCTTTTTTTGCTGGAACAAGGTTAATCCTCCATTGACTATCTCAAAGTTGTTGTGTTTATGTACCATTATGTCAAGTATAACTCAGAGGGACCCTATAAACAACAGACTTGAGCCCTGTCCTCTCCTGTGTCATCCTCATCATCTCTGATACAGTTGAGCCCACTGCTTCATTCCCATGTCAATCCATCCCATTGGAAGTCTTCCTCTGATTCACTTACTCTCCATCCTTCCAAGCATGATGTCCTTTTCCAAGGAATATGTTCTCCTTGCAACATATTCAAAGTATGTGAGACGGAGCTTCAACATCTTTGCCTCCAAGGAGCACTCTGGTAGCATCTACTCCATGTCACATTGGTTTGTTCTTTAGGCAGACTAACCTGTGTTAATAAGACTTTGCCTGATGTTATCACCTTTTGTTTAAACCTTTGGTTGCTATCTCCACTAGAATTTTAAGAATTTTCATGAATTAATTCTTTTTCTTTAAATGAATCTTTCATATCAATAAATACCTTCCGAGCCACTTGTCACTTTGTATCAAAGATGTTTGTAAAGAGGAAAATTAAACTTGACAAATGGAGAGTCTTTGATAGGTAGTGATTTGAGGCTTCAGTGCCAGGGCAGTGGCAGTTGCAAAGCCTAGGTCCTTGGTGATAGCTTTGGTAGAAGGAAAAGAAGGGAATAAAAAGAGAAGGGGATGTAATAGGTAAACGCTCAGCTGTTAACAGAAAGATTGGTGGCTTGACCCAACAACGCTGCCACATGACAAAGGCCTAGCCTAGCAATCTGGTCCTATAAAGATTGCAACCCCAAGAGGGTTCGTTAGGTTTTGCGGACTAGTGTAACCTCTTATATGGAGAATATGAATATGGAAGGTTTTATTATTCCAGCCTAAATATTCTCATCTACAGAACCATTTCCCCCCCTTATTGTTATTCAAAATACCTCTGGAATATTTTAATCCTTCAAATCTCATTTCTGCTGGGCTTTCTCTTTCAATTGAGTGTCTAGCCCATCAGTGTAATGCTGGTTATTTATTTGAAACTTCATCCCAACAAAGAACCACCATCAATCTAAAAGTTGCCATGGATCAGGATTTTTAGCTTTTAATGGATTATACATTTTTAGCATCTGAATGAATCCATAAAAGCTAGAGCTAGGTAACATTAAATATGAATACTTTGCTGTAAATCATAAAAAATAGATTACAAAATACACTGTGCCTAAAATCAGAGCTCTTTCCATTGCCAAATTAGGTCTCTGAAAGCAACATTAACTTCCAACTCAGTTCTACATTCCCTATGAAATTCTATGGACCTTTTTTTTCTTCTTAAAAGCAAAGTAATCAGTACAAAGGTAAATATGAAAATTCCATTGTTATGTTTTGTGATTTAGGCAGTGCTTCAAGCAACAGTCTGTTGTGGATACCCTGTCTCCTCTAAAAAACTCCTGGGGTATGTAAAAATTTCCTTCTTATAAAAATTCGACACATTGCAAGTGGAAGTCTAGAAGATTCTGACTTTGAGCCTTCTGACTCATCCTCACTCAGATGCCTGAATGTAAAGTTTGTTTGCTGAATGGCAGCTTCTTCCCAGAGATGATCACAGAGCCACACTGGCTGAAGCTTGCTTCACTTTGCTCTGCCTTCCCCATTCTGTCTACCTTTACTTGTGTTCGCTGCTCACCGCTTGTTGGAAATCTTGTTATGCACTCTTCATATCCCATCAACAGTGCTATTTCTTTGGTAGTAAGTAAAAAATTTTTTTCTTTGGTGGCTGGCTCTTAATGAGATAACCCTCCATTATAGGGTGTCTGTTTCTCTTTGGACAACCATCAGTCTCTCCTCTTGGTCATGATTTAACACAACAGGATGCAAGCTCTGCCTCACATGGAAACATTTAACTCCTTCCTTCTCCTGACAGGCTCTTGATAGTGCAGGCCAAGTCTAGAGCGGCAGTCACTTCTTCAGTTTGCTGTCAGAACAACTAGCTTGTCAGCGACTGCTCCTTGGATTACTCATGAAGTCATAAGAAACTAGATACCTGTGTCCCAAACTGCTGGGACTGATTGGAGATGAAAAAGAAATTACTGTCCATTTGGAACACAGCCTTCTACCACCTCTTTCTAAAAGCTGTCTCTTAAAATTTTAACAGTCTTTTCTTGACTGGTCTTTGTTTTTAAGTTATTTTTATTGTTGCTGAAAATATATACAGCAAAACATAGACCAATTCAACAATTTCTACAATTCAGTAGCATTGATAACATTATATTATCCAAGTTATACAACCAATCTCATCTTCCTCTTCCAAGTTATTTCTCCTCTACTAATAGAAAAACAACAACAACAACAATAGAAAAACAGGAGAAAAAGATAAGCTGGTACAACAACAACAACAACAACAATAAAAAAACAGGAGAAAAAGATAAGCTGGTAGTAAGGCTTGTGTAAATTAGTTCAGAAGGCCTGTTCAGATTTGTTGTGCTGAAGTGATAACTTCCAAAGTGTTTCAATAATCCCCCAACAGAGTGATAGATGCTTCCAGGATGATACTGAGAAGCACCTAATACAGCATAAAGACAAATCCAGAACAACCATTTTTCCATTCATCTAAAATTACCAGACCCCCAAGCCTGGATCAACAAGTAATTTTACATATGAATGTCATTACCATAACCCAAAAGTTGGATACAATATTATGGAAAAATCTTCAGCTAAAAGAAATCATCTGAATTTCTGATCAAGACAAGGAGTTTTGTACGATCATAAAACTCTTCCAACTTTAGAAAACCAAAATGAAGAAATAGTAGATAAAATATTTTCAATATTAACAAAAAGGATATTGGTTTCTAAAGTATTGTAGAGGATAAAGACATAGACAGATCAATAGAGTGGAATACAATGTATAGAGAAAGATTCAAATACACAGGAAATATAAATATGATAAAGTTATTCTTTTAAATCAGTAGGATAAAGTGGATTATATAATAGCTGTTGGGAAAGCCATCTGGCAAAAAGTGAAGTTGGATTCTTACCTCACACAAAAATGAATAAAAGACTTAAGTATAAAAACAAAGCCATTAAAAATTCTAAAAGAAAATACTGGGCAAGCTCTGGTGGCCTAGTGGCAAGAAGCTGCACTGCAATCCCAGAGCTATGTGGTTCAAATCCACCAGTTGCTCTGCTGAAGAAGGAGGAACAATCGCCTCCTGTATCAGTCAGATCTGATTTGACGGTACACACATTAAAAAAAAAAAATTCTGGAGTATTTCTTCATAATCTAAAAAATTACTAAATCAAGAACTGTCAAATTGGATGCTATAAAATCTTAAAAATGTCCTTATTAAAATACTACGAATATGCAACAAATGGGAAAAATATTTACAATTTAATTTCACAGATAAAAATCTAATTTCCTTAAAATATAAAGAGCTCCACAACGCAATAGAAAAATGGGCAAAAGGTGTAAACAGGAAGAGAAATTCTTAGAAAGAATTTCTAAAAAAAAAAAAGAACTTCTTTGCATATTGAAATAAAAAACCAAGTGGTTTGGTCCATTCTCCTTTAAACATAAGTAATGTAATTAAAAGGCTGTTTACCACCTTGCGATTCCAAGATGGTGTCTGCAGTGGAAACAGTGTGGTGAGCTGCTGGAGCAGCAGACCACATGGAGGAGGGCCACCATGGCCTTCTACAGACCTCTGTTTATTGATAATTAAACAGTTAAACAGTTGATGACTGGTCTTCGGTCAGGATTGAGGCTCAACATCAGGAGATCAAAGATTCCCAGGGAGGAATGGGGGAGTCCCGTGGCTCCCAGCCCTCTGCTACTGAGCCTGCACTGCTGCCACAGCTCCATGACGCTCCCACCGCCGAACCTCAGGGATCCCCTCACCTAGGATGGACGGTAGGCACCCCCCACTCCCAGGCTGGTGCAGTGGAGCTGCCACACCGCTGCAGAGTGGACTTGTTCTGGGGAGAATTCTTGGAGCCAAGATGGCGGCTGCAGGAGACGCAGCAGCAGGATGGGGTTTCCTTGGTCAGGCCAGAGAGGAAGATCACCAATATAATGGATTGATGAGAGTCACTGTGAGCTGTCTATGACTTGACAACACTTAACAGTTGCAGCATGTCTGAGACTGCAGATATCCTCACTGCACCACGTCTTTTGATCTGTTGATTGCCTCTGCCAAGAACTATTTAGACCTGGGGGGGATTCTGTTCACCACTCTCAGGTCCCCTTCTCCATTTATAAAGGGTGAGGGCAATTCAAATTACAGTATGAGCACTTAATGCGGGGAGGGTAATGATGGCAGTGCCGGAATTGGTGACGCTGTCCCTGGCCACATGGTCTTCAGTGAGGCATGGGGTCCAGACTTGGGGGGGGGGGCTATGCTGGGGTAGTGTGCCAGCCAGCCCCTAGGGTGTGTCACACGGCCCTCGGGGGGTGGGGGGTGGGGAATGCCTTCCAGCCCTCGGGGTGGGCTATTTGGCCCTTGGGGAGAGCTGTCTGGCCCTTGGGATGAGCTGTTTGGCCCTCAGGGTGAGCGGTTCAGCCCTCTGGGTGAACCAGCCCTTGGGTTAAGCTCCTCAGCCCTCAGGTTGTGCCATCTGACCCATGGGTAGAGAAAACTGCCTAGGGTGTACAGAGAATTTTATCTAGGCTACTTTCCTCCACCCTCTCCCCCAGTACACCTGAAACACCCCCCAAACCCTTCTATTTGTAACTCACAAGTTTGTTCCTTCTAGGTTTGCTCCCTTTCCTGTAGGTAACTTTAACACTGAGTTTTGCTCCAGACCTGACGCTGAACCCAGTTCCAGAGACAAAAAGGAAATACAACTGCCAGCTAAGGAAGCAAAGGAGGATGGAGCCTCAGGGTTCAGTCAGTCATCCCCACTGGACCCACCTGGGAAAACACTTTGCAGTCCAGAGGGGAGTAAATGTCAGGAAAATATCTTTGAACAGAACAAGAAGGCAAGCAGCTTTACCCCAAGACCACAAGTAAGATGATAAAGTGTGCTCCCTTTCCCCCTTCACATCAACTCCCCTGTTCAGCATGAAGAAGCCAGAGAGTCTGTGCCCAATTCCCAAATGAGAAACCCACAAGTGAATAAGACAGTTTGTTTAATCACCATTGGACTATGCTTACCATTGCCCTGTATCATCTGGTCCCCACTGGATCCTTTTCATTTCCATCACCTGCTTCCCCCACCAACTAAATTGTGCAGCACTGCAAACTGCATCCCTGCAATTTCATCCCTGCCCTTCCTCACCCTTCTGCTCCCAAACCTCACCCCCTTGTATCCCAAACATGTTTTTTCCAATAAAATGTTAAAAAAGGCTGTTTATCATAATAAATTTAGGTATATATATGGATATTTATTACAGCATTATTTATAATAATAAAAGACTAGAAACCTAAATGCTTATCAGTAGAGGGGCAGGTTAAAAAAAATCATACAACCCAACAATGTAGTCTTTTGAAAGAAAGAGGCAGTGCTAAAATAGACAGACTTGTAAAAATGTCCATATTACATGAAAAGACAAGTGAAAAACTGGTCTAAAGCATGGCACTTGTGATACATATTCCTGTGATATATATTCTATATGTATTTCCTTGTATTCTTTTTGCATAGATAGAATATTTCTGATAGGCTACACAGGAAACTAGTAAAAGGAGTTTCTGACAGAGAAAAGATCTGAATGCTGGAGGGTAGACATTGGTGGGAAGGTGCACTTAACTATATTTGAGGAAGAGAATCTTCTGATAAATTGGAACCCCAAATTCAGATTAATATGGGGCCAAATTCAAATTGTCTTTAAGTTGCAGAGTTTTTGAGCCGAGAAACGTAAAAATAGTTCCAGAAGTAGATTATTCCAACAAGCCTAAGGCAACTATGTCCTGTATTATCATCATCTCCAGGTTTCTCCTATTTATTTTACTATATGACCAGATTTCTCCTGTTTATTTAATTCTATTATTTCCCTATGTCTGATCTTCTTTTAAGTCACTATATTGACTGACAAATGACCTTTTACCTTAAAGCACAAACCTACCAGGTATATCCATTGTGACCAGTTCTAGCCATGGTAAGCTTCATCACATAAATCCTGTCTGTACCTTTCCCCGTCTCATATTTATTCTTTAGTTTTTTCAGACTATAAATTAGCATTCATAGACATCCGTTCTACTTGGGTAGAAGTGATCTAGACTCAGGTATGAGTGTATATGTACTACCATTGAATAAAGCATCTTTTTTGAAATCAGTTACTACCATTGAATAAAGCATCTTTGTTGGGATCAGTTGCCATAGTACACCCTAATTCCCTTTAAATACCCTTCTTATAGCATTTTTTCCTACTCTCCTCCCACGTTTACTTTTAAGTTCATAGTTCTTAGTGCTGCCAGTGGAGTAACAAAGGATTTAGGGTATCCATTCCTCCCCTTAAAAGTAAACATTTTTTCTCTAAATATTATTTAATTGAACTAGCTTTGTTGCAACTGACCTGACATTTTCCTTGAATTCTCTTTAACTGTACTGATGTCTTTCTCTAAGGACACAATGGTATTAGCATGTTGTTGACTGCCTACATTCTTATACTCTTCCCAGTATTCCTTCTCACCGAGTTTCTCAAGAAATAGCTTCTCAGTCTTATTTATTTGATTGCGCATATCTGTTGAAAAAAACCCCAAAAGTGTCATATGAGTCATCCTTCCAATAATTATCTGAAGCATTCTGATGTTTTAAAAGTCCAAGTCTGGTAATAAAATGCTCTTAACTCATGAATAACATTTTATACTTTCAATTTAACAAAATAGAAATTATTCAACTATTGTTTATTTCTTACAATGTGAGATACAAATAAAAATGAAACTTTTCTGATTGCAAAATAGATGTTTTGTAACAGGTAATTATCAAGATTTTTTTATGTGGATAGTTTTTTGTAGTTTTGGATAATCATCAAGAAGTATATAAAACTTCTCTATATATTTGCCTCCGGAAATTCTATGAACTTGGAGAAATGATGAAAGTTATACAAGTGTTCAGGTATTTTTTGTTCATAGGGTCACTATGAGTCATCTACAACTCAATGGCACTTAACAACAACAGCAACATATATTTAGTAGCCACACATTTAAATTATTTTTTTATTCTTTTTAAAATGTTAAATTATTTTTATTAATGATTTTTAATGCATCATATACATTTTTATAGCATGTTCTTTTCATTTAATTTATTCCGCATTTATTCATTGTTGTACATTTTCCTCCCTGCACACCCCTCCCATCCAGTTTGTTTCTCTCTTTGAAGAAAAAAAAAAAAAATTCTTTCACTGTTATACAATCCCCTCCCCCCAGTCCACAGTCCACTTTCATATGCATTTATTTTTTTGTAATCTTGTTATGAAAATAATACCTATTCCTATATTCCTTTTAAATAGTTGTGATGGTTTTATTTTGTATAACATAGTATATAACATGGAGTTGCTCTGAGTAAAAAAATGACTCAGACTCAATGACACCTAACAACTAACGTTTATCACAAATATTCTTTATTAGTCAATTTTCATTGTCTTGGTCATTATGGCTGTGGGCAAGAGTTGATTGAATATACAGTCCCTCTCAGATCCTTGGACACCATTTTTATGATTAATTTATTTGATTAAGTCACATAAAGTTCCTTTCTTTGGATTGCCCAACTGTAAAATGACATTTAAAATAACATGTCTTTCTCCCCTGTCCTCTACACCTGTTATTAGGAATCCTGAATGACTACCTTAAATATGTACAAATCTCAGCCATACAAACTTTCTGCCCTAAAGCACTTGATAAACCTGTTAATCTATTCAGTTGTTAGCTCTGAGTATCATGTTGCTGAATATTCTGGAAAAGGAAACATTACAAAAGCTGAAGAAAATAAATTTTATGGCTAGTTGGCTCATTACTATCCACCTTATCTGAGAAATTCTTTAGTTCAAGACGATGACTTACTCATCCTGTAAACCCAGCTCCTAGCACAAAGCCTGGTGATTATTTCCCAGAAAATATTTGTTGAGTAGAATAATTAAAGTATTCCAACCCATCCAGAGGTCCGAAAGGATTCTGGACATTTCTTTTCCCAAAGATATAAATGATTAAAAAATATTTTTAAGTTCCTTCATAAATTACATTTATTATTGGAATCTAAGAACTTGTCCTTTTGCCTGTGGCGCAGCTGGATGGCCCCATTCTTCTTTGAGCAGAGAGATACTGCCCCAGTTCTATGCCACAATCAGCTTTTCAAGGGAAGATTGAGGTAGCTGAAATAGTCCTAAGAAAGATAGGTGTAGTGATTAATCTATATGTCCAGAATTTGTCTTAGTAATAAATTTCTTCTATGTCTTTGAGTTGTGGTGCTAGAGAATAGTATTGAATACACCACAGACTGCTAGTAGAATAAACAGGTTCATCCTGGAGAAGGTGGAACCAGGCTGCTCCTTGGAGACAAGGATTCTAAAGCTCCTTCTGGCATACTTTCAGCATACTTTTTGACATACTGACATACTTTTCAAGGGGGGACCAGTCCTTGGAGAGAGACATTCTACTTGGGATGGTGGAAGGATGGCGCAAGAGAGGAAGACCCTTGATGAGGTGGATTGACTCAGTGTCTGGGGTGTGGGGGGTTGATATGTCGGAGATGACAAGGTAGGCTCAGGATACAGCAGGATTCAGAGCCGTTTGTACCTAGGGTCACTATGAGTCACAAGCAATTCGCCAGGCCTTAACAACATCATCCCTTGCCAAATTAAGCAAAACCACTGTAGTGGCTCTAGTCAGCTAGGGTAACACTGGCCCAGGAGTAAGCACATGCCTCCAGATACTCTGTTCCAGAAATATTCTCACTAAAACTGGTGAAAACTAAGTCTCTTTTGTATTAATTCTGAGGAAATATGGATGGAATATCAAAGCTATCTGCAATCAGAGTTCTAGTCTCATGAGGACAACAGCTTGTAAAAAATAATCCAACTTTCAGGAGGAGAAGATGGAGGAAAAGAGAGAAATATTTTCCCCCCTGACATGCTGAGATCTAACAGCATTTGAAGCTCTCATTTCAAGTAAGCACCACTTTCTGTGGTTTCGTCAGGCTAATTTGAGCTGGATATTTACCTTTGTAACTGAGAGAGTCCTGAATAACAGCTGGAACAAAGGGATTATATCAACACTTTATAAAAGTGTATGAGCATAGAAATCTTGTGGAACTTTGTCAAAAGGTAGTTTCTCAAAACAACAATGAGATATCATCTCACCCCAGTCAGAATAGCAAAATTTAACAGAACAGCAAGCAACAAATGCTGGCGAGGTTGTGGAGAAACTGGAACCCTTATCCACTGTTGGTGGGAATGAAAATGGTGCAAC